AAACATGGGGTTTTCAATAGGTCCTAAATTAGCGAATGTTTCTAGCCAAACTGGAGAATGAAACTTCGGATTAGACAATTTGACATTTCAACGTATATTGCAGATACCTGGAAGATACTTTTATCGTTCGTGATTCGAAGATGAGCTACACGCAGCTTTTGGACGAATTCAATGTGTCATCCAGCCAATCGTTTTACTTTTGAATTAGGGAAAAGCGGGCAACTACTCTTCTTAGATTTTATCCACAAAGCGCGACGACCGCACTATCCAAAGAAACATTTTCCTCAACACCAAGTGGGTTGGACAGTGAATGCATTTGCGTAGCTTTCTCCCGCTGAAATACTAAAGCAACCTGATCAGATGTTTATCGTACAATATAGTCTGAGATACGCCTTATTTATGGCGTACTTTGATCAAATGGTTATTCCGAGGCTTTTATGGATAGACGTTTACAAGTGAAGACCAACACAAGCAAAAGCTCTGCCGTTTATTATAAGACCGTTTTTCTTACCGTTTCGTTTATGTGCCACAACGCCCTGAAAACTTCTCAAAGGACGTTTGTTTAAAGTGATTTGTAGAACGTTCTACGCAGCTCAACGGTATATTTTCATTACCACTGGACTCTTAATGTTCTAGTACACAAAAGATAAGCTGCCTCATCAGTTTAAATCCTTCGCTTTTTATCCTTCCACATCCACTTGTAGTGTGTTATAGAACGTAATGCTGAGCAATGTCCTTTGGGTCTCTACACAGGAACTGTTAGGTGCATTCGCAGCTCGATTATCGGTCATTTCGTCGATAGCGGGCATGATGTGAATAAATGGGATACATTTAGCATTTTTCATACTATATCAGAGAAGTATTATAAGGGATTGAGCATATGCATTTTCACCACTGCCGAGGCGATTGCGATTCGCATTTTCACTCCAGAAATACAGAAATTGTTGTTGTCCTGGTGTGGACAGTTGAATGACTGTGTATAAAGTAAAGCATCACTCCTGCTTCACATACCCCCACCCCTCATCCAATATCACCTACCTCAATCTCAACAGTTAAACTATTTTTGTTTCCACTGTTTCCTTCCGATTAAATCACTTGCTTTGCATGCCTTATAGTTTTTGTTGCATCTTACTTAACTTGGTCCCGCTCTCTACTTTTAGCTCACAACTTTCATCAACATTCAAATCTTCCCATCTGTCTACCGTTTTCAATTTGACCTTTATCCGCTCACCCATTCCATGATCGACTAGCTTTATCAAATCCACTTGCTCTGCTTGCTCACCTCCGTTGTCCTTATAAAATGAGCTGTAATTAGCCAATCAGTTATATTTTTCATCTCTCGATATGATAAATCAAAAGGAAATTCTACGGCTACCTTTGGACCAAACCTAAAACTCACTATTTTTGGACAACATCGACCTTGTCAAAAATGAAAAAGGAACTAAATGAAATCAGAGGCTTCGTCGACACTGTTGGCACCGTCGATAGATCATAGAGATTAATTGATTGATGCGTAATAATTAGCCTGTATATATGTTTCCTCACGTTCAGACGGATCCATCAGTGCTTTGCGAAAGTCACACAGATTCACTGTTTAGGTATCCTCTATGGGTTTAGGACAAACGAACAGTTACTAATCGTTATCCGGAACGCATTACTTCTTGTCGGTTTCATTCGTCTGGTTCATTTTGGTTCACGTACCTTATTGCAAACGAACGAAAAGCTTTATGAGATTTGTCTGCCTCCTAATCGTAAAGAAAATAAATGCGCAGCAAGCATCTCGTTGAATGAGAGCACTCAGTGATAACAATGAACTGTAACCACTTTAATCAGGCTTCATTAGCCCGCGGTTGAGTTTTGTAAGCATGCCACAAATACAAAAGCGATATGTCACTGTTTGAACAAACCTTCCCAGGGTTTAAACCATCGATATTGTGGCCATTGGTATAAAGCAGATCTGCCTGTGGTTCAGAAGGTTTGATAATGTTAAAAAGACTAAGAAGGGCAAGCTGCTTATTGCTTTACTGGCAGTTGATCTTAGGCACGTTATGTTAACTGTGCGTTTCTTAGCAAATACGGTCACATACCGCTCCGGAGATTACAAGCCTCAGTCGGGTGGTTGAGTTCACTAGTACCAAATGGCTGATGTTTCTCACTTCAGTGCCCATCTTTCCTGGGTGTATGCGAAGAAAACCGCAATGGTACATCGATACGAAGCCAACGGAGTGTCAAAATCGCGACAGGCTCTATGAGGTCCAATCATCGTGTTTTTTAACTTCGGGACGTAGCCTATTTCGTTGATTGGAGTCTCGTAGTAGTAGTCTGAGTGAATCTGCTCACGTGTGAACTCAGAGAAGTAAACGCAAGTGTCAAACAAGAAGAACCTATGTTCTGCAAATGGGTGTTCTATTTGTTTTGCTATGCTTCCACAGAAGTATGTTCACACAGTTTTATTTCACTCTGCTCACATTTACAATGTGTCGAGCACCTCAGCTGCCAGAACAATGACATTATGGAGATTCCCCGAACAGGATTGGATAATGAATAAGGTTACTTTTAATGGGTCGACGGGGCGGACACTTTACTTGTAGAAAACATTTTTCACTAAATGTACTCATAAAGAGCAGTCTCGATGATCAGTTCAATATTACCTCTATCCACCCAAAGTTAAAGTCTGTTCCATTCACGATTCAGATAAAGTTAGTAGATTGTATTGATCTCTCTTATTATCAGCCGTATCTTTCCAATCGCACCACTAAATTTGCACACCTCATTGAAGCTGTTTAAAAGCACATGAGCTGATCAATTTTATTGCCCCTGAGTAAATGTGTGCACATCGGCTGAGGGGCAATCTTATTCATGTAATTATGGATCCGTTTCGAGCCTCGTGCTACAAAGGATGAGTGCAACAACTACAGTATGCTATATCGCATTCAGACGTGATCATCAGTGAAACGACAAATGCCCATTTACCGTGCACAAGACAGCAAAATTACATTGGAAACTATGTTGTTCACCAACTAACAAGCGCTCAAAAACGGAATCATTTGCTACTCTTAGACAGACCTTTATAGCTTTTTTAAGATGTTTTGTATGAACTACAAAGGAAAATGATTCATTTTTCATTAAAATCCCTAAGTTCATGACAGACCACGTGTTTAATTGACCCCGATGGAGCTCGTCATTCCCTAGTTCATAAAATTATTTAACGTAATAGCAGTCGTAATTCCACTGATCTTTAGTATGGTACAGGTACCAGGTTGTGTAGTGCGGTACTAGTGTGGGTTTCGCTAGTTGAAATTTCTTCGATTGTCAATTATTTTCTTTTTTCTGATTACTTTCGCCTGCTCCCTAACTCAGAGTTAATACTTTTCTACCCATCTTTTAACTGGTGGAGTCACTGTCGCTAAGCCATGCAATTATTTCGATATCCGGTTTTCTTAGACGAGGGTGATATGCTTAGAGTAAACCGGGCACGGTGAACCTCGTTTTGGTTATTACGAAATGACTCTAGGTTTTGCAACAAAGGGAACCGTCGTTTTTAGTGTCTGAGACATGTGACTAATAACTGCGTAATTATCTCCAGTGTTATCGACGGAATAACAGGATTGTGTCTTGGAGAAAGGTCATCATTGATCGCGGTGATTACATGGGTCTCGGTGTGGACCGATTGAATTAACTAATGGGTTCGTTGGCCTGTTCCTCGGTTTGAGTGAACTTGCTTGCGACTACGGTAGAAGATTGTACACAATGTTTAACTTCCAGTAAGTAAAGGACTATAAATCGGAGATAACATTATATCACAATCCATACCCACAGTGAATGACTCGATTTTTTCACTTAATCTGACTTCAATTAAAATGAATAAACACATGTACAAACAATGCTTGAGAAGGAGGAAACGGATATACAAATGCCTTCCTTTAGATTTTACTCAAACTAGCCTGTAGTGCAAATCAAATTAACATGTACTGATTTATCTTTACAAGTAATCGAGTCTTTGTTAGACCATTTCGTAAGTTTTTGGACCTGAAATTGAACAAGAGGGAGTAAAACTCGTAAACTGTTCTATACGCTTTGGGTTTGCCAAAATTCCCCACATGGTAACTTCAGAATCAACACGTGTTAACATACTTGCTGCTCGAGAATCATCAGATAAGTCACGTTTTCCGTGGCTAATTTCTATGGCATTCTTTCCGTTACAAACATGTGGTATCCCGTGTTCTGGCGAGAAGGTTGACGAACCCTGCGTCGTTCTTTGCGTACAAGGAGTAAAACGTGTCCTTGTAGGACCAGCGTTAAATGTTGCACGACAAATCTGACCATTCTAGCAGCTCTCACATCTAAAAGAACTGGATTTATTCACCCTTGTCGAAGTGTCGTACATCGTATACTTATTTTCCATTGTAATTCTAAACCACATTTAGCTCATTTGATATCCATATGTGTAATTTAGAATGTGGTTTTGATTCAGGATAGAGTAAACATGTTCTAAGCAGCTCTTTACTTGAAGTTTATGAGGTAAATTACGCTTCGCGTGCTTCCCCTACGTCTTCTCACGGAAGAGTAAGAATGGAATCGAGCACCTTTAGATTTATAGCGGTTTCAAAAGGCAACATACTTAGTGCGGGTTTCACAATGAGCGCAAAACTGCACTGTGTGTATACTAAAAATAATACTAATAGTAATAAAACAATATTGAAAGTAATAGTGAATGAAGTTATTCGGGATTGTTACGGAATCCATGCGAAGAAATGAAAAAAGAAGCAATAACATTTGAGTATTCATTTATGTTTTTACCACTTTATAATAAAAATGAAAATCGTTTTAAAGGGAATAGATTACCAAACGGGAATCGGTAGTATCTGTTGTGAACTTTTCGAAATATTGAGTTCATCATTTTGGAAACTTGATGGTTGCAAATTGGTTTCCTTCCCAGCCCAACAAAGAGGAACTTTCTTCGGCTCCATGTAGCAGTTTTGGATGTTCGTTTTCTACAGTTGTATGATTGAGATCCAAACTGCCCATGTTCAATACAAATGTGGTAGCCTTTTGTTGACACTTGACTCCTGTCTCCATGGATTAGCGGGAGAATGACCTTTATTCAGTGAGATGTTCAATTACTGCATGCAATACACGATGTTTTGACTAATCACTTGCTCAATTTCCTACCAAACCATTCCGTTTTGTTCATTCACTGCAGATTTTTGCGTTCGATCGTGGCACACCGAAACAAAGCTCGTTTTGCACCGTCACTGTCCGTGTGGTCGACGTGAATGACAATACACCGCAGTTTGTCTATCCCACACAGAAAAACCACACTATTTATGCTTCGGCCTACACTCCCCCGGTGAGTAAACAGCTCATGTTATGTGCTCTTGTCAGACAAGACACGTATTCTATATGTGGATGCGCGTGCACTGGCGTGATAGATTAAGGTCCCTAGAGCTCAACCGTCTCCGCTGGAAATAACCGTTTGCTCACGCCTCTTAGGGTTCACCAAGATCCCACGTAAAAGACCTACACATATGCGATACGTGATTAAATTCGCTCCGCAGTGCTCTTGTTTTCTAATTGGGGTTTTCAGGTTTCGCGTAGTACGTCGTGGAGACACGTTCTGGATTACTATTTACTAGTCAGGAAAACTGCATACATTTTCTACTCTAAATATATTTATATTTGCTTGTGTTGCATTATCACGTTTGAAGTCGTATGGACAGCTTTCCAGCTATAAGTAAATACCAATAAAAAGCACAAACAAACCTCATCCGCTCAATCATTTTTCGCTCCTATGAAGGGTTTATTAATTACCTTTTGCGTACAAAATACTTTTGGAGACAAAGAACGAAAGTTTGGCGGTCAGTTTCAACACACCACGTTAATTGACACTTCATTTATGATATAAATACACTTGGTTTCAGATTGGTTAACCGCTGTATCTGCTGCTTAGCTGTACAGATGATTCCAACCCTTGTAAGTATAACACAACCAAGTAGAAATGATTAGGTAGAAAAGATATTCAGCTTTCACAATTCGTTAGTAATCCAAACAGTATTGCATGTCTGGACAAAGTAGAACGTTTGAGAGTGGGATGGTATCAAAAGAGGGTCATTGACACAGTCCTAAATATTTTCACTTGAAGGAAAACATCATCGTGGTGGGAATGGAAAAACTGTCTCGAAGAGATTCACTACTTTTTTACACTTTTATAAATATACATGACAAAACCTTTATTGTATATTCGTTACAAGAATGGAAACAATAGTATAAAAGCTATTCTTTGTGATTGCAATATACAATAATAATATAGTAAATAATTTTTAGGAGTGATAGTGCCGTTTTGGGGGGATACTATAGAAGTGGAATAGCTGAGCTGCTGTTTGTGATTTCCGCAGACTACCATCGTTTGCTCTGGGTGGTAACGCCCTAATGAAGTCTCAGAATGGAACTCAGCACTAACTGATTAGCAACTTGCCAAATGACGGCGGTTCTGAATTTTGCAGGAACAGTTCCACAAAAGCAAACAAATGAGAGAGAGATCTGTTTCACTACGTATTATGACAAATTTAGATTACAACATCCTTCAGGTTTCCAATTATACGCATATCTTAGTAAAATGTATGGACACGCGTTGTGAAGCTGTACTTGTGGTTTTGGTGGTTATTCCAACAGCTACCATCCCTGCCGTTAGGCGCAAAATCCGAGCCCCCATTAACATGATTATCATTATGCTAGTGTTCATCCTCTCCTTCTTCATTATAATCCAGCGGGATAGGATAAAGATGACTTTGTTAATCCTGGTCAATATCGCACTGAGTATCAATTGAGAAAAAACAAGAAAATTTGTGTAATCATTAAAAGTGTGTTTCAGTGAAGATGAATTTGCAACCGGGCGGACGATGTAAAAGTTACCTCACTATAATGAATTTACTATTAAATTTCTCGTATGGGGTTCGCAAGTCTTCGGTATGCACGAGTTTGAATCTGTTATCATTCGTACTCAACGGTTTAATTATCTGATTTCCGCTGTTTTATTTTCACGAAATGGGCTCATAGGATTTTTCTGTACTTGAGTTTATATACAAATCTATGAGTCCAGCGCACATGTAGAACATGAAGTGCAAAGAGGAGAAACCGGGTTACAGAAAACAAGGTGATCACATTTTCATGAAAGAATTATGAATAGTAAGTAACCGGTTCAGTCGTCTGTTAACTTAGTTTGCAACACCATGTGGAATCTAAAACTCTTGTTCTGCTCCAAGACCTCGTGGAGGATACTTTCCCTGTGTGCGCTCGCCAAAACACTGCTTACATTATAGGCGAGTAGTACATTGCTAATACACAATACTAGTGATAGCTTGTGTGGTTAGCTCGGCAATCACAGAAGAAGCATGCATTTTGTCTAAATAAAAGATCTTCCATCTTAAAGGGCTTTGCTTTTGAGTTTACAAGCAGTACGCAAACCGGAATTCTTTTCATCGATACTCGCGTTTCCGGCACTGTTAATGCGACTTTCCAGAATCAGTTTCAAAGCCCTTCAGCAGGTCAGAATAGTTGATTCATAAACATCTGCTCTTTATGTCTTTCCTTTTCAATGCTATATGACTTCAGGAGCTCAGAGGCGAACTATCCATTATCCAGGAATATTTCGGTCTGATTTCAAATAAAAACAAAATGCCGTACGTTCTCATTTGATGTTTCCAGGCAAACGCAGTCCTCCTGAAAGCGTGAAGCCAGAAAGACACTAATAGCCAATTATTTAGAGTTCCAGACGGAATTAACTGGTTTTAACCCTGAAGAAAGCCACAAACAATGTCGAAATAAATCTATTTCAACTCCAGTTGAACCCTTACTAGCTAGAAAAAAATTGCTATGCAACCGTTCACACTGCAATAATTTCTGTATTCAGTCCACCTGGTTAGGGAAAGATTCACGCTGAGGCTTGCGGTAGGAATCGAGTCTTGGGATTCGTTATCTGAAACCTCATTACTATCCTGTATCAACACACTTTTCTGATCACGCATGTCTACATCTTAGTCAAAAAGAAAATACATAACCCGGTTGCAGATGGTGACACCAGGGACAACTTCGATGTCGTACATCTTGTTATTAAACATATCCTATCTATGTCTAACCAAAAGTATCATGTAACCAGCTAATATCAATGATTATTTGACACTTCCAGCTACAGAGCTCACTTTTTCTACTCTTTATCAAGCAAAGTTTCATGATAAATTAAAAAGCCCGGAGTGTTGAGGTAAGACCTCATTGGGAATGACAACCGGGTCAAATGGTACCTTAAAAATATTAGGCAAGTCAAGAGTTATAAAAGTATGACCAATAAGATTGACAGTGAAAACGAATATCAAAAAGCAATTAGATGACTGCTGCTTCCACGATGATCAGCATTGAATTTCTCGAAGAATTTTGAATCCCCTATTTAAATATTCTGTGTAATGATTTTAGTTCACCATTTTTGTTGAATTTGCATACACTGTTTAGTTAATTTCATAAGCTGTAAACTCAGTAAGTACCAATTTTTAATTTCTCTGCCACTGAAACCTATCAATTATGGTTATCCAACCACGCATTCTGGGTTTGATCCCATACAATTTGCTGAGATGGCTTGTGTGTGTGTACTCACTGTAACAAAGAAATCAGTTTGCTACTGATGGAAACCAACGTATCAGCGTTATTTACATATGGTCTTCCATGGCAATGATTCCCATCGGAGTCGAAAGCAACGATTGGGACAGTAATCATCTGCTTATATATTTTAATCGATTTTTCCCCTCCACTCTTTTCTATCAAGACGGAAAAATACTGGATTGTCAACAATTGCAAGTTGTATGAGAGGTTAGAAGTTTGTACCTTGAACCTGGAATAGGACAATAGACATTCACAGTTTGTAAACCTTCCAGGCAGAAAATTTGAAGTTTGGTGCTGCTGGTGCTGTAGGTTTTATAGATAAACTAAGGAATGGGATTGGTGTAAAGTCTAATGAATGACCACTTAATCTCGATCACTAATTAGCTACAAACTAATCATAAGGGGACATGAATTGAAATGTAGACCGCATTAGTAACGAGTTGGAGAGTTCTGTCTGTCCGCATGTTGCTTGTAACGTGGCTGGCCTGAGCTCAGGTGAGTCGTGAATAAACATAGGACATTCACAATAACAATATGGTTATTGTCATTTACTCCATGCCCGACTATTTATAATCTTTTCTACCAGAACCTTCAGTATCTAATCGATAGCACACACTTTTTCGAACTACTCAATAAATCTTCTAAGTGGACGAAAATCGGACAAGTGAGGGTATTCTATAGCTGGTGCAAATAATGTTTGCGAAGTGGCAGTGGACAGAGATGAAGGAAGAGCAGCCAGAGAAACAGGAAATATATCTTATTCCAATCCACTTCCATTCCACTTCATGCCACTCAAGTTCAAAGTACCCTCCNTCCCGCCCCCTCCCTCCCTCCATCCAACCTCCTTCCTTCCGTAAATATTCGCATTCAATTAATTCGAACATTTTCATACCGCATGCACCAATTTTTTCCCACTTGTGTAAGCACTTGACGGAACAGATTCAAATTATTTTGTTCCAAATAACCACAATAATCATCAATGTTCGGATCGCCTTAAAATTTAAGCGATTTTTCCGTGTGTGTGTGCTTGAATGATTGCGTTCTGGTGTGCGTGCGTGTGCATGCGTGTTTGTGTGTGTGTGTGTGTATGAAGAGCCTGACCGCCATTGGCGTCTACGATGAGTTTCAGCACACTTGTGACTGTCGCACTGTTCTTGGTTACATTCTGGCGTCATTTACGTTGTTCGCGTTGCATCCTAGCAAACTAATAAAAAATCAACCGAAACTGACACTAGTTGAGCCTATCTTTCACACTGACCGGTTGTTTGTTCTGTTATTGTTGTTGTTGCTCCTGATGAGGTTGATGCTGTTGCTACTGCTGCTGCTGCTGCTGCTGCTGCTGCTGATGATGATGATGATGATGATGATCATAGTATTTTACAAGCGAGTTAGGTGACATAAATCATAGTCACACTTTCGGGTGAGGGAATAAAGAAAAATGGATAGAGCAACACTCATTCTGTGGATGACAGTTTACAAGGAAGTAGCCGAGACAGTGGTCGGTTTCCCGAGACTCTTGGTCGCTTAACGTTGCAGGTAAAAGAGTTTTCAAAACCGAGCGAGTAGAAGCGAAAATGCAGCGGCAAAAAACCTGACAAAACTGCATTGTATCAGTTCGCTTGTGCACACGCGCACCAGAACCACGTATTTTGCGTCTTGCTATTTGTCTATTGGTTCGTCTTATCATTGTCTCCTCAGCATCACTGCCCGTTTTCTCGTTGCTCTGAAAATCTGTATGGTCTTTCTGTTTGTTGTGGGACTGTATACTTGCCAAACATAACCATGTATTTCGGACCGTGAATCACTACGTCAACTTTCCTTTTTTGCGTATTTAGCTTAGATATGCCTGAAATGAACTTGTATCCGATTTCCATTTCACACACAAACACATAATTCACTGCATACAATGTGAAAACATGGTACTGTATATCTTATATTTACTTGACGAAGACACACTAAAAACGCTTAGTCCATATCTACTATGAAGAAAATTTGTAACCTAATGTGATTTCCACTGAAAACGCTGCTGAAAGTTCGACAATAAAGGCTTGAAAATCGCGTTTGATTGTGAAATCAGCTTTGGAAAGGAACACGAATGATTTTCTTTACTGCCCACGTTGTAAGCCTCAAAACGAATCCATCGACGCTAAAATATAAAAAAATCAAATCATCCGGGGAATGAAATCAAACAACCCCATCATCCAGTATCATTTGTTGCAATCTTAACAAGTAATAAGTTTTTTCTCCATTATTCTCTCCCAATTACGACAATTACTCTGCGTGACAAATAGTTTTTTGTGTGTCTTACGTAACTACATTCCGCTCTCTCTCGTCTTCGCTCACAAAATTTATTTCAATCTGCCCATCTGTCAACCGTTTTCCATTTGACCTTTGTCCTCTTAACTCTTCATGATTGTGGTATTGATTATCACTAGCTTTGCCATATTTGCTTGCTCTGCTTTCTTGCCTCTGTTACTATTAGAAACTGAGCTTTATTCGGTCAATCAGGCATCGTGACTATGAACGCCTTTTCTATGCCAAAAGCCTGATGCGGTATATTGACAAGAAATTCCCTCGTCAACATCGTTTTCTGCATTGTGTATAGGAATATTCTACGAGTTGAGTTAGTGTTAGCTTATGCTCACAATATCATATCTGGATGAAATATCTGTCTGTCTTTTTAGTTAATTTTCTATTTATTGAATACATAAATGCACAGGTAATATTCCGGAAGGCCATACAAAGGATGCCGGGAAAATATAGAAACAAGGAAGATAGGCGGCTGTGGAGCGGTTCGAACCCGTGTCTCTCAGAGCACAAAATGGTGACCCAACCACTTGGCCACCACCGTCACCACCTTAACTTCACAACTTGTAAAAAAAACGAATTTGTTCATCAATACATTTCACTCAGTGAAGTAGTGTGACGGGGAGCGGCTATTCAAGTAACGGGAATATATGGGTACAAAATTGCGGGGAACCGTTGTCAGATAGCTCCTCCGTGGCCGGGGTTAAACCTGCAAGGATAAGGAAACAGAAAACAAAGAGCCTTAAAAGTACAGTTAGAAGCACACACCTTAAAAATCGACTGATCTGGTTAACAGGGGTTTTATATTGGCCTATATTAAATACAAATTTACGTCATCTGTGTTACTATTAGAAATGGGAATGTATATCAACATGGTAACACGCTGGAACAAATTTATACACCAATTCTGGTCGTCTGATTGACGGATAAGCACGAAGATAATGTACAAAGAAAGATGAATGAAAACATTTTGATATTAGGACCATAACCTAGATGTGTTTCATTTTTGATCCAATGCAGATTTACCAGTGTGTAGAAGCGTTGCGTAAAAAATGGACACTTATAATCACCATTGGTCACCGGGAAAATCGTTATTTTACCCTTCCATAGGTACGCTCAAGAGGCGCTGCAGCTACTCAACGGTACATTATCACTAAACTGTCCGGGGTCAGAACCGCAGGCTCTTCACAAGGAAGGCCCTTAATAATACTCAATCACTTCCCTGGCTATACAGCAGGGAATCACTGGACACTATCCATTTATAAATAAACTATCTAGAAAAAAATACTATCATTCCGAGAAACCTAGATTATAAAAATTCGGAAAACAATTTCCACCTGTAGGTTCGCTATGACACGTGTGATCTAGTTCTCACCGAAACACTGTGTCGCGACAGTTAAGTTGGGAAAGATGAAAACAATATAGTCTCTATGAAAACATAACCAAAAAAGGAATGAACTTGTGCAATAAGAAAAACACTTGATTAGCTGGCCAATAAAGGATTTATTTATGAAATTTCATTCAGATTGTGCCCTATTAAGTTTTGACTCGGCGAAGAATATCCAAACGTATTCTGTCAAATGAACCGGAAACCTGTTTCGTTACCGAATGCGAGGAAAATTCCTTCGTCTGAAACTCGTTCTTCTCTTGTTTTCCCTCAGGGAATTCCATTGGTCAAGTTGACTGCTGTGGACCCAGATCAGGGTGACAATGCCCGATTGTCGTTCCATCTTGACGGTGACCCGGCTCACGCGCGTATTTTTCATCTGGATGAGAAATCTGGCGAATTGAGCTTACTCGGTGTGAGCGATCCGGCCGAGTCCGTGGGCCTGTATCAATTAAAGCTGCGGGTGAGTGCTTATTTTCCGGAAACCGTATTCCCTGTGTTTGAAATATTGCAAAAAGATGATAGCGGGAGACGGTTACATGCACGATGATTACTTTGAATCGGTTGAAATTTGAACACGAATTCATACCCAGGAGTTGCAGGCAATCAACCTTTGTGTTAACATGAGCATAGGAGTTGCCTGGAGAACAATGGATTTTTGTTCGATCAAAAATATCCTCTGTATGTTTTACTCATTTCTGATTGAATCGATTGCACGCAGTTCTACAACACTGGCATAGACCAACCACTTCAATAAGGTGCGTATCAAATCGGAAACGGCATCAACAGTTATATCGTCGGTTCCACCTACCGCTACATACTACACAAAATTTGTACTTGTACAACCAACCGATTAGCTGATTCCAGTTTCCGGCTGTGAATTGTAACGTGAAAGACTAATGTGATCGCAAAAATGTAAAAGAGCAAGTTAAATCGATCATTGGGCATTTTCCCATATCGATGGAACTGTTCAGATACCTGAGAAACAGTTTATCCGAGCTACGAGAACCGATTTTCAATACTTTATCAACAAGAGCTGAAGGGTTCAGTTATTGCAGAACATATTCCAATTTATATCCAAATATTTCAATCAGGCAACACTTATCAAGCATTTATTGTAGATCACAAAAAACGCAATTGCTAGAAGCATGTAACTTGTTGAAAACATTATTTTACAAAGTAAGCTTGGGACAACAATTGATGCATGAAACCAAAATCAACTATCCAGAAATTTAGTTATCAAATGACCCGTAGGAACTGGTGAAAATGGTAATCATTCCCGCCGTCCATATACCGTTTATTTGTGGGGTTGACTAATACTACTTTATTCACTTTATTTTTACTTTACTTTACTTTATTTTTAACTAACACTGGTGTAACAAAGAATATTATTTTTTTCACCTTGACCAGATTCCTATATGTTCTGTTATTTCTCGTAAGGGATTTCGTACAGGATCAAATTGCTCGTAGCGGGAGCCAAAAAGATAGAAAGATTATGGGCGACTGTTTTAGATGACCCAACTCAGAAAATATAAATGATCTTGTCAAATAATTGACAATTATACTCTACGAAACTGGTATGTTAGAAGACAGGATATTGCGGGAAGCATGCAAAAAGGCACCTAAAATCGCCAAAGGAAACTTGTACAAATTGGAGTGTGATGATGACATTACATGTATGCTCGAATGCACGATGTGTGTTTGTGTGTGTGTGTAAAAAGGTCTCTAATGAAAGTAAAGAAGTTTGTCGATTATTTTGATGTACGCCTTAGATTTTTAAAGCACATGATTTTAAATTCGAAGAAACATGATGAATTAATATGTAGCGTATGAAAGTGACATCAGCCCGCAAATCGAATGCTCTTTTCTTCTCACTAAACTGATACACGTCTGACAACACCGAAGGACCCCATAGTTTGATGTAATTAGTTGTGCCGGGTGAAAGTGGGATGAAGTTCAATGCCAAAAGCTCTGCGATGCGATAGGCTTGAAATTGCACGTAATTAACTGAACCCACCAAGCTGTGATTGCTGTAAATGAATTTTATAACGCTATTCTTATTCCTTTTCCATCAGTGCATTGTCAGACACAGAACTGATTGAACGATTTTGAAAGCATGATGAATGTCTGTTTATGTTAATCCGTGGCATTGACCCATGGTTTCAAATACTGGGTTTATCATACATCAGCCAGTGCAAAGGCAGCATGACGCGGAACTGTTTGAAATGGGAGCAAGTAGCTCGGAGCAAAAGCCCTCTTCCCGTGCGTCACGATGAAGCATGCAAACTAATGGGCAACAGACTTGGAAAATAACACAAATATTGTTGTAATCGATTTGTGTACATTTGGTCATACGTATACTTTTGTTCCTCTTCCGGAACGTTCACTGCAAACAATTTTTGTCAGTTACGCACGATTTTGGGCACTGAATAGTCATTCAATAGTTCCGATCAGATGTGGCTATAGCCACCAATGTCACCGTCAATAATTAGCTAATTTACCTACTTTTCATTTCCTATTTTAGCTTCTTTTCTTTCAATTAACGGACAAGAAATGTTTATGTGATAATTGTGTTTTTGTGGTGGTTTTTGAAGGGGAAGCGCGTATGCAATTAGGTTTACCGGTGTGTTGGCGAAAACCACCAATCTGTCTGACGTAGTCGTGGAACAATGAAACAATTTTAATCGGTCTACTCATGGTTTCGGGACTTTAGACAAATGAGACCAATGTGGGTTTTGATTAGACAAAGACCAAAATACATCCTCAAGACAGCAAACGGAAATGTACGACCGATGAACACTTGCAGATAAGTAAGAACACATCCGACTGTCTCGGTACTTCTAACCGTAGTTCTCATTGTTCGGATTCCCCGAGAGAACAGACAAAAACAACATTTATCTTGATGACCACCGTGAACGAGGACGTAAACATTTATAGTAGGCTAGGAAATTCTTTGTTCCCTATGGAATGGGGTAGCCCATGGTCAGACGTTCACCATCGACAGTAATCGGAACGAAAGTTCAACTCTACTAATGCTGATAATGTTCAAATTATCTATAACCATTCTTGCTTTCCACATGAAAAATAGCTGCCCAATTCACTGTGGGATCAAATGTCAACCGTACCGAGATCAGAAAAACAGTTATCAAGGAAAGTTATGCTGGCGCTGAAGATGATTTTGATGATCAGTGGTATTTCTAACAAACTGTCCTCTTATGATTTCATTATGATTCAGTCTTCGTTAGATTACGCAAAAAGAGTGAGAAAGACAGGGTCAGATTCTGGATGAAGACCAGAATCTAGTGCTCAAAGCGATTGACTACAGTCAAGGAGTCCTAACCTCGATTATTTTTTATCAGATTATTTGATTCGGCAGTGAGTTTGATTCGACAGCCTGGACATTTAGCCCGGTCTCCTGTGGATTACGATTGTCATATACCTCGTCCGCTGCCTTGCGGTTTGGGCCACGAATAACCAAAGGTATCAGTTATGCATTTCCCAAGAAAAATCTCCTAATTCGAGGTCGGCTTCCTGGACGTATCCAACCATCTAGCAAACCGTTGATGCACGTTTCACAAGGTGATAGTATTATTGGACCATGATTTATTTGGCGCAAAGTCTAACTCTAAACAAATGCAAAATGTAGCATAATAGAACAGAAATTAAATTAACACGCCTGGTCATGACCTTTATTCTGTTTGGTGTGTGATGAATAATAGACTTTCCAACTGTACCGAGATTTACAGTAATTTTGTGGTTCCATATGAGAAGGAAAGAACATAAATCAAGGTGCAATTAATCTTTTAAACATAAAGTTTGTAAGCACTGCACACTGAACTAGGCCGCTGGACGATAGCAAATCCCATTGAAGTGATTTACGAGATTATATTTCGAGATTAGTCCAGGGACAAAACACGCAAACCAAGATGGTGCCGATTTATCATATCTCCTTCGCATATTGTTACCAAAGTGTGCTGCCTAATTGAATTTAACCTCCAAATGCAACCTTTTGGGTTCTTTGAAAACGAACAGAAATGCATTTATATGTAGAAGGAGCGTTTGTGATAAATGTTATCCTAAACAGCCAAAAGATGAATAAACATGGATCTATGGAGGTGAAAGCAGCATATACTATTAAAAGAAATCGTTTGTATTGCTCTACTACAAATACTATTCATACACATATGTATTTAAACCTCCGCTGTACGTTCGAAGTGATGAAACTTTGATTCTCTTACCAATACTCAACCTCGTAGATTATACATCGTGATTTTCAGTATACACTTTCCTCACTGCTTCATCTAGAGGGAAAATAAATGATCTGTCATCGTAGTGACTATCTCCAGGTTTCAGACGATATCAACCTATGTATCAGTCTGCTATCTATGGAATACACATAATGGAATACATCCTGTGTTGTTGAAAAAGATGGGAGTTACGTTGATTTTTAAATGTTCCTTGTGCTTTGCGTATGCACAGACGACAAGGAAACGTTTGATGTTATCGTTTTTCGTCCGAGGAGGAAGAGGGTGGGAGGGGACGGTCGTTGGTTTCGACGCGACTTTTACTGTCGTATCAACAAGACTGACAGCTGTCAGTCACGTTGTTGTGTTTTTTAGTCAATACACAGGCGAGTGGTCGGTTATGCATTTCGTATCATAAATCACGTGATGATTTTTAATGTTGTCTCTTAAGATCATATCGTACTCATCTTGTTTCCTAGAAAGCCGTATCGTCTGTTGCGTTCTGTGACCATGTAGAGATAGACAACTTTCGGGATTCGCCTTAAGTCAATTCTTCACCGAGAGCACACTTTCTCTACGACTAAATGACCGATTTCGGGGAAGAAATGTGTGATGCACTACGTCGTCATGTCGTTCGTAGGGATTTATTACTTCAAATTAAATGTTACCTAAGAATCAATGTGGCACCTTTTGTGGCTTACAACTGACTGATTTGTGTTCATGCATGCCCATGGTCAAATTGATTGATCGATCGATCGGTTGATCGATTGATTGACTGTTTGAATTCTGGCTTGACGGCATTCGCATGTACTGCGACGTGTGAGCCGAGCTCTGCCGCCTGCCTGCCTTCCTACATACTGATCGTTCCTGATTGTTCCCCGGTTTGTGTGCCGGCTACATATTTGCTGTCTACAATAAACTTACTGCTCCATTCGTTGTGTGCTCCTTTGCCTACTGAATTTGGGACACAACAGCACCCAATACTTGACTTAACCATAAAAGATGCCGTACATTAAATCAGTCTGTTGGAATTTATTCAACATAATTGAAACAACTCAACAGACAGCTCACCAGAGAAACTATATCCCCTATACACAAAAGCTAGGGTCATAAGTTCGGAGGTGAATCATTCGTTACCGTTAGTAGCTCAGACATCTTCTCCTTATACGACAGCAAATAACCTCGACAAATCTTTTTTATATCGATATGCAACTGCTAAATCTGTTCAGGGTACTGCTTTTGTTATACTGATCATGAATATATAGCTAAACAAGCACCGAGTGAAGATCTTATTATTCCTTCATCTTCTTATCTATTGAAGTTCTCATTCATTTGAAATTCTACTCTCCAACTGGAAGTTCTTCGCAGTTTTCAGCAGTTTGCTGATTCAACTTCTACCTATTGACAAAGAATCTCACATATTATCCATTGGTTCGAATAGGGGGTGAACAGTGATTGAAAACCAGAAGAAATCCTTTTTTCAGTTTTACCTTTATATTTCAAAATAACCTGGGCGGGCATATAAGAAGGAATCCGCTGGACAGTGGGGTAACAGCCTTCCATGTATCCGCTCCAGAGGACCATGATAAGCCAACGTCACCCAATATGGGGTAATTTCCCCATTCTCTAAAGGGTGATAGTTGTTGACTCACTTACTATCAATAAGCTGATTTGGAAAAATACAAGTTATCAAGGTGGAATTGATAGACTTCAACGTCCTGGTGTGTACGACTATTAGCTGATGATCAGAAAATCGATCTTTTGTTGCTTGATGTTTTTATCCCCTCTCTGTTCAATCTCCGTTTAGGTCACCGATTCTGGCACGCCGCCTCTATCAGGCCATGCCAATATCAACATTGTTCTGAACAAGAACGCGCATGCATTTTCAAAATATTCGTTTAATCCACAAATGTTGGACAAGACAGCGGATGGAGCGTTTATGGAAGGTGACCTCAGCGAAACCGGTCAAGTGGTTCAAGCAAATCGATCAGGCGCTGCTGATCTATTGTTGCACGGTGATGGGATAGGAACCCGTGGTCGAGGGCAAACGGGTTACTACCATCCCCAATCGCTAGATGCATCACCTGGTTCGGACGGGGCCGATAATTGGAATAATGGGGCCGGACATGCGTTATCGTATTTCAGCTCAGAACGAGCGTTGATCATTATCATTTGTCTGATTGCCATCTCGGCCGTGATTGCCTTCCTGTTTCTCGTGGCAATTGTGATCGTGCGACGAAAAGCGGTGGCTCTAAACGCTCCGAGTCGATTGGAAACTGCCTGTCCTGTGCCGCGCATTGTAAATGCATGCGCTCCCTCACCCTGGTTTGGGACAAACAAGTCGGGTTCGACACCATCCGCCTCGTTTGCTTCGAACAAGGCGTGGCTAATTTCCACAGGCGACAAATCGTACTCCCCGGCTGCGCAATCCACGGTAGACTATGTGCAACGAGGATCATGCTCTCCATTGGGTGAAGCTAGTGGTGCGGAAATGTTGGAATTGGACAAACGACAGGAACAAACGAATTATCAATTTTGCAATGAAATTCTAGTCGTAAGTAATGGGTTTTCATTTTTCTTAAGGTTAACGATCTGTGACCTAATAGCTACTCAGATTTTTGAAGAATGAATGTCATGTTTTATTCAAAGTTTGTTGATCACCAATTCAATGACCATATTTCCAAAGCACTAGTGTGGCTGCAGTTTTGATAGGTAATCGTTTCATGCACGAACATGCGCATGCATTCATTGAATTCCACCTGAAAGCCAACATGTCAGTCGATGAGAGACGGTCATGGTCGTTGACGGTTGAACGCAAATTTAGACAGCCATGGTCAAAAAATGGATATTTTCCCAGCGCATTCTACTGTATCCCAACTGGGTTTCTACGAGGATGATTCAAACTCTTATACGTAATAATCCGCTATGAGTTTACATGTAATCGAATCTAAACTGGTTACTTTAACTTCACTTGGAGAATACTTTCAACGTGAGTTCGGGTGCTGAAATAGGTGTAGAATGAAAAGACTGTATTCTATTTAATTAAAAGAGTGCATCGAATTTGATTATCGTACTCTGCACTTGTACCACTCAGATTTAGCGTGCAAAATATGCTAAGCACTTTCGCATTATTGAACCACTCTTCCAATTCGTTTTAAGAATCTGAAACAGGGGTTTCCAAATGACTTTACACATCTGGTACTAAAACAGATCTTGCTTGCTCAACGTTCTAAAAAGAATTTCTTCGAAACAGCGCGATGTATTTTACGTGAACGTTTGATAGCAAAATTGTAACGGAGTTGGCTTCATGTCCGCCGTTGCAATAAACCAGTGGTTTCAGAGAGAATCTTTTTTCCATGAAGGTTACTATGGTTTCAAAACCGAAAAATGCATATATGGTTTTGAGGTCAGTAGAACGTTCTTCATTTACTGGAAGCGCTTTGGAGCATTTGGTTCATTCATTTCAATATGAATTATCTATAAACAACTTTTCTCAGTTTCAAAAACCTCCATCCGAATAGTTCAACTTTTTCTCCCAGCTCATTGCGAAAATTATCCATAATGAGTGACTTGCTAGCTTAACGGGTTTCGAACACGAATACAAGGGATAGTGAATTCAACATGCCAAACACCTCGTACTATCAGAAAGAAGCTTTGTATAACACAAGATTTACCCACATTCTTTTTTCTTCCATCATCATCATCAACATTATCATCATCAACATCATCGCTGGTCACTGCTAATCTCACCATCAAAATTGAGTAGACCGTAATCGAATAAAGGCTGTAAATCGTATCGCTTTTCCGATTTTTTTACACACCATTTGTATTGTTGCCATGATAAAACGTCAGAAGCAGTTCTAAGACAGGGTAGTATTTTCTATACGGTTTGACTAGATCGTCTATTGATTTTTGCGTGAACTAACCTTTATTCTATAAACTACCAATCTGGATCTTGTTACAATTTTTTATCAATGAATTCCGTCAACCATGGAATTATCGACCTAAATCGACAGAATGTATTGAAAACAGTAATGAAAGTCACATGAATTATGCCTAAAGTAGTGCAACCCTATCAATATCCCCATAGGCTGAGAGAAATATCTAAAGCTCAGTAGCCTAATCATCAGTCGTCATCTCTCTCACGCACACACACGAAGAATCACACAGACCTTCCTGGAATTTCGCATACTTGCCTGCAGTAATCCTGACACTCACTTTCGCCCACTGTGTTTTTGAGAAATATCAAACCTCGAATCTTCCTTCTCCGTTCTTTTGGGGTACAGATTTATGTGCGTGCGATTTGACAACGAGACTGCTCAACCAACCTAGAGCAAGCAAATAGAGAAGAGACTCAATGGTGTTTATAAATGTTCTCCTAATAAAGTACGTGGACTAAAACGGAATTTCTCAAATTTGAAAAATATTTAACACAATTGCAGGTCTAAGTGTGCGTCGCCTGACAAATTGTAATCAACGGATTGGTGCAATGGGGTCTCTCACCCACTCCTATTCGTTTCAGTCTTCCTCCAACTGCTAGTGTAATGTGAAAGTACTAATTTCAATGTGTTGCAAACGATCTTGTGGAAATTTCCGGTGATAGACAAACAATGAGACAGCAAAAGCACCATTCATGATAATAAAAACAATCAAAAGATAAAATTTGTGGTAATTTTAGCACAGGAAGAGACAAATAAATGTAACAGCTCCTCGCTTTATGATGCATAAATTACGGACAACGGTAACACTCATTGTGATTGGCGTCCGTTTCCAATTCACTGCAACTTGGTCTTGTCAACAACGGTTCGGTGCTCTGGGACACGTACAACATCCCAACAGCAACCTGTTGTACCTTTGGATTTGCTCAGCTGTCCATGATGTTCCTCATTTGTAACGCACCCTCTCCGCGTCCCTATTCGAGTAAAAACGCCAACATACGGTTGTATATTCATATATATTTGTGTGTTGGGAGACATGTCCCATCACCGAGGCACGAATTCTTGTAACCGGATGGACACGACGATTTTGTTAGATGAGCATTTTCTGTCATCCAAGTGCGTACCCTCATGCCCTAATGTCTATAGTGTTGTGCGTATGTTCAAACTCTCGTTCATATTAAACGGGAACACTACTTGGACCAGATAGAGCACGACACGACTGTTCGATGTGTGAACACGTGACCGAAACAGCACGGTGCCCACGGCTTCACGTGGACCGAATGTTCACTTTTGCGTAGTNCCTCTCAATCATTCCGGTCATTGTGACGTTTGTTTTGCCCAGTTTGTCTTTGCGCTGCTCATAAATTATGCATCATTCAAAAAAGTTCAGTGATCCAATTACGAATAAGAATGTCTCAGTCGTTCAGTGGAACCCTGAGTGAGGGAGTGGTTCAGCCTCGTGTGAGTAGTGTTTAATGATTCCATCCGACCATTCACTTGAGAGCATTGTTGAATTAAGGTGGCTCCGAATGCCAATCAATGTAGTGAGATTTCAAATCACTTGACTTCGACAGAATGTATCCCCCATTCATCGAGATTGTCATTTACTCATTAGCCAGATATAGTGATGTCACGCAAATCATGAAAGAAGAGGTGAGATAATAAATGATCATTTCAGTATACTGTTACAAAACTATCCCACTATTGCGTTCTTCACTCATATATGATCAGGCCATGTTACATCAGGAAATGTAAATCCTCTCAAAATAAACAACCTGCTCTGCTAATGATCGAATGTCATACTATTGATTTTTTTATTATATAATCAATCACAACTTGTCCAGCTAACTCTGACTCCTTCCGTCATCTTTCAACGGAAATTCACAGTGGTAGATTATTACAGCTAAGCTCAGCTAATCACAGATTTTGAAGAAAGTATTGCTGTGAAGGAACAGTTCGAAACAGGGGTACATAAGCATGCGGTGTTTCGTTGAACAGACCGTAATTGAAACGTCATACGATGGTCAACAATTGCTTCGTCATACTGAGGTCTGTGCCAAATCTGCGTAAGAATTCTATATATGATGTCCAGGTAGTCAATTTTTCACCAGAATCATTACTTTGTACTCTTATTTACTCACACTATTAAGGATCCGAAAAACAGGAACGTGACAGTTTTGCTTTGAGCACTGAAATTTAGCAAATAATAGTGACTGATTTGAGAATTAGAGCAAGGGTCAGACGGAATAAACCTGTTTACAGCAAGTGAACGTGTAATGTTCGTAACTCATACTTTCCAGGTTCAATAAACTCAAAGCAGAGTACCAATAATGGTCTCTTTTTCTGTATCCTGGAAGAATAGATCTATGAGGTCACCTATCTTATCAACGAAATCGACCAGGGTAATCTTGAATCATACCGTCGAACCTCGGGGTTTATTATATGTTTATTCTTCTCTTGTGTTTCATTGATTACAGAAAACCACATTCAACTTTCAGGTAGGGGTCCTCGACCATCTAATAGCTGTCCGGGGAAGTAGCGATTCCCAACTCGGTTTAATAAGCTATTTTAAAGATTCCTGCCCCTATATTTATTGAAGTAACTGGAGTGGGGTTCTATACAGTCCAAAAACCTCACTTCATCTACCAACAAGGAATTTTGTGATTGCGTACTATAGTAGACACTTCTATGAATAGGGTTATAAGTTCCATCGATTATTATCTGCGCAATGGACTCAGGTGATTGTAATGCACTTAGGAGTGTCATTAAAACTTTCGAAATAAGTGTGGTTTTGGTTTCCGGGATAATACTTGTGGATTTGGTAACCATTTGCAGTCACGTTGAGTCAAATTCTAGAATAAATCTACCAGATTAATGGAGGATTTTAAAAACATATAGTGGAATTTGTTTAATTAATTTCAGATACCGATTCGACTTTTGAGTGCAGTTTTATGTGAAATTCTCAGATATCCTATTTGAACCACTCAGAGTTAGATTCCGTTTGCCCTCATTCCCTGTACCGATTAGTGCAGCGCGATTAAGGTTTGTGAACCTCGACGAGTGAACTCAACCAATTTGACGAATAGTCATTGACAATATAGAAAGTTTGATTTGTTTGAGAAGCAGGTTTTCAGGTTCGTACTCGGTTTAATGGGCTCAACTTGTACCATCTCTACATATTGAGAAACACGGAGGAAGGTTGTATAAACTGATCCATTACGGTTAAGGATGCGTGCAAGGACACATTGTCCTACCGAACGAATAAACAGAACCCTGAGAACAGTGTCTCTCATTTGATTGGTCGACGGATGTGACTAGTTTCAGTAAATTAATGTTGACAGATTATCCATATTGATTTGTGCTTGCGTTCTTGGTGGAGTTGCTGACGGGGCTTCTAACCACCGCCACCCACCCCACCCCTACCACCACCCCCACCACCACCACCACAATAACCCAGATTAGCAACAGTGTTTCATTGGTGTTGGGTGTACCAGTGTAGGTTGTGGTGGTAGTGGTGGTGGTGGTGGTCTGAGGATTGACACTGGTGAAGAAACTGCTGTGGGAATGCCCGGAGAGAGAGCAAATGATCGTCAAATCCTTATTTAATTTTGACAAC